TTGTGTGCGCACCATATCATGTGCTCCGCGGCAGATGTAGCGATACTTCGTTTCTTTGAAGTGGCAACATACGTAAACGAAAGGTAGTATTCGGTAGTGACTTGAGACTAAATGTTTATCGTTTCTGCACATATTGGTTGTGTGTTATAAAGTATGTATACGGATTTTAAAACATTATCCGCACATATGATATCGTCATTACAGGCCAAGTCCACTCCAGAAATAACTTGCTTTCAATAGATGCAGAAAAACAGGAGGATCAGAGCAAAACAAATTTGAAGAAAATCGGATCACTAAATAAGGAAGTTATGACATTTTTTCAGTATGAAAAACTGAGAATCAATGAAAATCACAAATTGCCGAATTGGTTATCAGTTTGTGACGTCATTAACTCACTATATATGAATTATTGCTATACAGTATATTTTTTTATCCCATTAATTTCCCTTTTAACCCCAAGAACTTGATTTCCCCAAGCCTTTGCCCAGGTTATATGATTCGTATCATGCATGCATGACATTTCTCAATCTTTTATGACCTTTGAAAAATTGATACTTTTCAGAATACTGTATATTTATAATTATTAATTTTCATATAAATAGTTTATTAAAATTTACCTTTTTCATGATTTAACAGAATTATACAAAACTATATTAGTGCATCCACACGCTATAACTATCAACATAACTTGGATGATGGTGTGAAGAAATACGATTTTAAGAGGAAAATGGAAAAATTTATATTATCAATATTAAGAGGCAATGACGTCATAGATTCATGAGTGAGTTGCCAATTTGTGTTGTGATTTTCAAAGTTTCATGTCATTACAAATTCATAACTCTCTTATTAGTTATCCGATTTTGCTCAAACTTTTTTTGAATGGTTTGTCTAATTTTTTTGCTTCATTTGAAAGTAAGTTATTTGTGGAGTGGACTTGCCCTTTAACGACATTATCATCGGTAAATTATTATCGGCCTATTTGCTATCTCAAGAACTTTATCTACAGTGGAAGAAAGTGCACTGTGCTTGGGAAAGATGTACATCACCACGTGCGAGTCACAGGACCCTTCTGTTTGCATCCCTTCATGATCTTTACTCTACGTTCCGCACACGGGACCGACGTGATGGTCGTGTCTTTAATCACAGGGGGAAGAAAATACACCCCTCTAGCTAACACATCGGTGTTGAAACACCTGTTCTAACAATAAACGAATTGGATTTACCAGATCTGTTCGTTCGGCGTGGGTAATCCAACACCCCCCCTCCCCCCATCATCAGCATCAGAACACGTTATCGGACGAGCTGGGAAGAAGAATTCAGCTTCTGAAATTCAATTGTAATCATTATCATGATGGCTTAAAGGGATGAGCTGAGAGAAAAGGGGTCATTAGACTGATAGCGCCCGGGCTTAATCGAATGTTGGCTTTTTAAAATCTGAAGGATGAACCATTTTGGAGGATCTTTGAAGGGTATACAGGTCTTAGTTCATGAGTGCAATCAATATGTTTCTGTGTCGCGATGCCTAAGGGTGTGTTTGTATATATCACATGCCAAGTACCTACCCTTGTCATCATGGACGTACATGAGGAGGACAGAGGCGAAGAAAAATAGAGAGATATCAACAGGAGATTAAAGCAAAGGGAAAGTGGACCAAAGTTAAATACGGAGAAAAACGATACATACTTAATGATTTTATTTATGCTGCGTACGTCGTTCTACATAATCGTTTTACATAATTACCATTATTTGAGAAGAAGAAGTCGACTCGACTTTCTACGCCTGTACCAATTACTTATACACACACATTAAAACCGACCACTGTGGAAATTTGAAATTCTTTTATCAACAACTTTTCGGGGTTATTTAAGAATCCTTACTTCTTTTTGTTGCTTAACCAGCACCCTCCACTAAGAACAAAAGAAAACACCATCGATCATGAGCGTTGAGGAAAACAAAATAACCTGATTAACCGAGGAGGGTTGCCCAGGCCAGCCTGTCGAATTGATGTCTGTTTCAATAAAAAATACGGGTCAAGTTATCTATGTCAGGTTAAAAACACCTAATTAATTTTGACTGGCAATAAATGCACTAAATTGGTAAGCATATCCTGTGACCAAGATACCATGATCATTGGACGATGTTTAAGCATGGCCTTTGTAATATGCAGTTATTCTGACTGCTTTAAATTGTAGGCAAGTAAAAGCGAGGAAAACTCCAAAATTCATTTTAAGCAATAAAGCCGATGATATTTTGAGTTATTTTTTTAATTAAAGCATTGACAACATGTATATTCAATTGTTATATACATATATATTGCTTTTGATATATTTTCTATAAGAAAAGTCTAAAACATTCGAAGTCGTTTGTATAATGGTTGAAACTAATCCGAAACTTGTGACGTATCGATTCATGTCAGTTCAGCCCCTTTCCCTTCTCCACGCTCCATGTTCCTTTCTCCTCTCTCCCTCTTGCTCCTTCCTCTTCTATTCATCCCTCTTTTTTTTTCTCTCGCCCTCTCTTTTCCTTCCCACTCTTCTTCTTATCTTTGGTTTACGTTGCCACTCCATATCTGTTTTGATTACGCCGCCGCGACTAAATTCCCTTAGACGGTTATTAACCCAATTGTCTGAGCATATTTACGAAGATGTGTTACATGCGTGGGAGAGAAAACAGGTTACAAACAACCTTAAAAGTCAACTAAAAAACCGCACATTTAACATGAGCTTTATGCGTAGCTATGGTCACAATCTACGGTAGATGGTGAATGACCGCGATCAACGATGCGAAATTCAATCTCTTGTTTATTGATTATGCTATCTAATGAACTGGAGGACAACGACTCCTTAAACTATACATCGGACAATTACAACCCGGCAGAGAAATGTCCGGGCAATGAAGCCCTAGGGGAGTGTTTCACAAGGACTAAGTTTGACCTTAAGTTGGACTTAACTATGGCAGGACGTTCATGCCTCCGTTTGCTCTCATCATTTACTGACGTTGGTCATTCAAGGGACGTACAAATCATGGTCTCAAATATACAGAATTTACATTTTTTGATAATACATTATTGAAGGAAAAAATATAAAGATCATAATGGTGGGAGCAACCAGTGGCATTAATTGCCTGTCATAGTTAAGTCCAACTGAAAGTCGATCTTAGTCTTTGTGAAACACCCACTAGGACAGCTACCCTTTAGACACTACCCGGTTGATTACTACCCCCAAAAAGGGATATGGGGATGTGTGTGAGAGTGTGGGTGTGCGTGTGTGTATTTGTAAGGGGGTTAGATAATTCATAAATACGTGAATAATGACATGTAGCTGTATCGGCCGGGCTGTTGCATTACATGCGCTACACCTTTCATTCAATTTACCAACCCCAGTGACAATTCACTTTAAAATTATTTTAAACAAAATCCTGGCATCGCTGATTTTATTTTTGGTTGCCTATTTGTTCAGGCTTTGCAAATGTGTGATGCGTTGCCTTCCCCTGCTTCCCTCTATAGTATTCTTCCATGTTAATATTGTTTTTATATCCTTATATATAACGAACAAATGACATTTTCCTCTTTCTCATTGTCTTGATGAGTGAAGATTTTACTCTTGCTTTTCTCAACACTTCTTCATTTGTTTTCTTTGCTGTACATGATACATTCATAATCTTTCTCAAGAACCAGGTCTCGGTAGCCTCTAATCTTCTTTCAAGCTCTTTGTTTATTGTAAAACACTTACACCCGTAAAAATGGACTGACCAGATTATAGTTTCAGACACGGATTCTGGTTTCATTGTATTGTTCTCTTTTTGTTCATTACAGATTTCATAATATGTAAAAGTTTCCCTTGCCATTCCAATCATTTTCTTAATCTCAAATAGATTACTTTTCAATCTGATGCTACCGTGTACCCACGATATTTAAAAGTTTGGGTTTGCTTCATTGTTCCCCCTTTATATATGAGATTGTACGTCTTTAAAAAAAATTGTACATACACTCTGTTTTCTTGTTTAAATCTAAGACTTTACTTATACTTTCTTTTGATACCACGTTTAAAATTAACTACATATCTTCTAGGGATTCATCGGGTATCATCTTTATGGCGAAGGTTGTTTATATTCTGATCTCGTACCTTGACACCATTGTGATCCTTAATCGATCCCATGATCATTTCACTGTAAATGTTATCAAGATCTGGTGACCGATCTCGACAGATATGACGCGGAAACAGCGCGATGTTTTTTCTCATTATGACGTAAATTGTAATACGTTTCAGATTTCTGAACCTTATAACCAGAGCTCATGCAATTAATTTTGTTGCGCACTGTTGCCACTCACTTTACAAGAAGAAAAAAACCGCAGCGGCTTTTTTTTCCTTCGGAGGGGGGGGGGGGGGGGGCAGTGGCTGATCATCCTTAAACTTATACCAAACGGGAAAAAAATCACAGAGAAGCTTTTATTTCGTGGAACAGTGATTGGTGTGATGGATGTATAGAACGATGTATGTACATACTTGTCCTGTGGACGAGTTGAGTTAGTTTTAGTTTTATAATGGAGGTAGAACCGAAGATTTACAATGGTTTCTGAAACTTAATCACTCTATGTCACTGTGATATCTGTTCTTAGTTTAGAGAGGACCTGGGAAGACGGTTGGAGCAAATCATCCGTAACATTGGTCATTAGGGACTTTTAGATTTGCACGACGTGAACGTGGAGTGCTCGTGTGACATCCTTTTAAGGCAATGTGACGTCACTGCCAGTGCCTTAGAAGGACGTCACACTGCTTTAAAAGGATGTCACACGAGCAATCCACGTTCACGTCGTGCAAATCTAAAAGTCCCTATTATGGCTCCCTGCTGTATGCTCCCTACACACATCAATCGAACAATAATAGGTGGCACTGTGGATCCTTATTAAGATCCCTAATTCTTTGAATCATATTCATTGCTAAATATGGACCTTTGAAATCATTACCTTCCAACTGCATCCTCCTTTTGTTTCTTTACAGTAAGAAAATCCTAGTCACCAACTACTACCACGTGGACCTTGGCGGCAAACTTCCTCAATCAGTGATCGATAGCTCGATACCACAGATCATGGCCTCGACAATGGAACACTACTACAAGAAACTACAGACGATTAAGAAGTGACGACATCCGGGAATAGATTCATAAGACCTGTTTTCATGCCACTACTCATGAATTTGCCCACAACTGTAGTCCTGGGGGCGTTTCACAAAGCCTTTTTTTTAATGACAAATGACAAAAATCAGTGATAAATCTGCTGATAACCAATCAGAAGCAAGGATTTCAGTAGATTATAACAAAAACTGTCATTTTGTCACTGATGAACAATTTTTTGAAACGCCCCCCAGGAGACATGCCCACACAATGAGTGGTGCTCATCATTATTCAAATTCGCTCTGGTAAAAGCGAAATATTGTTATGTTAGGGGCAAGGCGTAGGTCCCTGTTTCACAAAACTTGTTATCTATAACAAGTGTCACATTTTTACAACAATTTTGCTCTCTCTCTCACTCAATCAATCAAATGCAATATTTTCATTAGCTTATAAACAGTTATTGCAACTTATTAATGACAAATCTTATGAAACAGGGTCAAAGGCGCCGTATTCAATATTTATTTACCAGGCCTGGTAAGGTATACTGATTAATATAAGCCCATGTGTTCTCCTTGGTCATTGACTCTTGTACCTTACGACGTAATTTTTTTTTAATCAATCAAATTACAGGTTTTCAGTGGCACATATCAATCGCCAATTTCTTCATTATCTCTGGTCAAGTACATTCCAAAACTTGTATGCAATCCTGGTTGCCATCTGGATATTATGATACGATAGTCAGCAGAAATGTTTGTTTTTCTAAGTTTTTTAGTTAGACTCTGCAGACAGGTGTCCATCATGATATTTATTATGCTAATAGAAATGTTAATTTGTCAATTATGATAAAAGAGCCTACAATTAGGAATTGAAAGGAAGAGACAATTGTCAAATTACAGACGGATCTCCTGAAATTTAGATATTAATTCATTGAAAAGTATACGCATCTTTATCTTGATATTAAAATTCTTTATATCGTCGCTCATTGCATATTCTAAATGTTAAACAATTTCACTAATGATATTAGATTGTCCAATAAAAATTGATCGTATAAAATAATTGCAATATCAATAGTCATAATACGATACTATTACCATGATTATGAAAAATGCTTTAATTGGATTTACAATACTTCCAAAGTTTTATTCTATGTTTTTTAAAGGGAGTCGTATTTGCTTATTTATGAAAACATAGAGTTTGATTTGAAAAAGGAAACGTTGAAAGTTTTCTCTTAACCTCCTGCTTGGTCATCTTTAAAAAAACAAGTTTTATACAGTGCGTCCATGAAAAAGAAAACCGAGATTTGTCGATGTTTTATCATAACTTAATCACAATTATAATTAAATAAATAACTGATATTTGTAAAGCTTAGATCCTCTACTTTCATTTGATGCAACTCATATGATGCAAATTTCACTCATGAGTGATTCAAAACAATTTGAAGAAAGTGTACCAAAAAGTGATGTGGCGAACAGTATATGAATTTTAAAGAGAAAATCACATTTGCAGAAAGTTCATTTTCTGCCCTTTCATAATGCACCTCAATCAGGAAAAATGAGCCAGGAATAACAATTTATTTTTATTTTTTAAAGTAATGCTTGCATTTCCTTAATTTTATTAAACGAATCCATTTTCACTGGCTGCCTGCCGTAGCAACAAAGAACAAACTCTGTTTCGTTGCCGATGAGCCATGCATGAAGTCTTTCGTCTTCTTTGTTGTACAATTCTCGGTTTTGTTTTTTCTGGGACGCACTGTATAGCAAAGCAACCTCCCGTCAATAAGAAATTCCAGAGGAACGTGATAATGATGGAACATAATAAGGAGCGAGGGAGACAGACGCAGATTAAAAGAAAACATAAATCGTGTGTTTTACGTATATAAAAAGAATGATATTAATAGCGGAAATAAAACCATCGTGTCGCCCTACTTCACAGCAGTTTGACAGCCCTACAAGTGTCATAAACAACATACTTTTAATCCCAAACTGAAAAAATTGAAAACATGTTTTTAAACGCATGTCGATGTAGGATGTGATTACATATGCTCGATACAATATTAATTGCCCATGTCTGTAACTAATTAAGCGACCGTTTGTTAGCAGCGTAATTATTTTAATCTTGGGATTAAACCCTAAAGTTCGCACGCTAGGCGGAAATAGTTCTCTGACTGCTTCGCGTGAATCGCGTCATACTGGGATAAACTGTGTAAAAATAAGTAAATAAAATAAAAGTTCTCGCTACCTTCGAAGAAAATGGACCAAATCAAATATCAGGATCGTTTTCGTGTATATAGGGGGCATAAGATTGTGACCCCTTCTTTAAAAGCATGGGAGCTGTCTTTCTGTCCCGACCTCGTTCAATTTGGGCTAGTGAGAATGAAAGGATGCGGTATTGCTCTGGTTTTCCATCAAAGTCGTTGACATAATGTAAATCATCTAAACATTTTTATGACACACAATGTTTTATCGCTTAAAGTGCAGTTAATGGTGATTACTTACTGTGGCGTTCATCATGACCATGAGTCCCTATAGATCACCCTCATTCCTAAACATTTGTCAAATTAAAGAGAAGGTTGAGTTCTGGGAAGAGGTTAAAAATAATTTGTGAGCATTACTCATTCTTATTATGCAAGTGTGGAAGAACATCAGTTAAGACATGTTCCCTGAAAAGCATGGCTCTTCAAATGCCTTCATATTCTAAATATGCATGTAACATCGTAAAAATCGGGGGGCCGGCTTTTTACGCCACGTGTTCGTGTAGTCCCATATACATCTTTCTGTGCAAGTGTTTGTAACTTTACCAAGACTTGGCCAAATTACTTATCATTTTGATGATTCCAGAACCTTGCAATATACACAAATTCTTATATGCTAGATGATCAACCTTTTCTGGTCGGTTCCACACCGTTTCTTTCACAATGCAATCGCATGACCAGAACTCAACTTCATCTTTAATGCCTGGAGTTCACGTAATCGTTGAACATTACGCACACGCGTAAGTTCGATGTTCATCTTGTTTGCCAATCAAATTAATGTGCCTTGGAGAGCCGTATATTAGTCTGTTGTCACATGCAAGCAGGGCAATATATTCCGTAAAGGTATAAGAAAAGTGACATACTCCATCATTCTATATACATTTATGATTCAGATGTGATGCAATATTCTTCTCTTATCTCGTATTACTGCTACTCAACTCCGTTTGGATTTCTCTGCAGCTCTAGAGAAATTATTCATATTTTATAACGAGAAGAAAATGTCACATGGATCATTACATCATGTAAATAGAAAGAGCTTTCAGAACACCATTAAGTTTTTTCCCAGGTCCTTTTCAATATCAACATTTATGGCCTTTTTAACAGGGCGTTGCCTCTAATGAGGTTTAGTAAGCACCATCTTAGCATTGGTCGTGGCAATAATAATAATTTACATTTAAATTGAGAAAGGATTCGAATGGTAAGCCATTGCTCTGATTGCATAGAGCGATAGTTGTGGATATAAAAAAGAAAAGTACGCATTTACTGGGGGATATATTTTCCCAACCTGGACATTTCCTCTAAACGCATTTTAGAATTGATTTGTATTAGCTTGCAGGAGAAATTTTTGAGGCGTATAGATAGAAAGGAAGAGGATTAGAGAGAAAGATATGGATATGAATATATATAGAGAGAGAGAAAGAGAAAGAAAAATGAGAACTGTCTATGAAAAAGAGAAAGAGAAGATGATTTATACTATATCTTTATTAATTGCTTTGTTCAACAGTGACCTTGGCCTTAATTTGTGTTATAGTATATTTGCATTCTCCTATATCACGCATTTTATGATAAAAAATACAGGGGAATTTTACTATTCTATACCATGCCTACCTCTAATAATCGTCCCAGTAATATTTCGCAATAATTGAAATATCAATGTATTTTTGTATGATCTACCCGTGATTTCTGTGAAATTAATAACTTATTTTAATAATTATCAATATCATTGCGAGTTATTGTGTTTTTTGTAATCGACAGTTCCAGGTATAATGATATGCGTTTATGGGCCGATATATGAGTGTTTGGGGAAGACATACAGAGAGAGATAGATAGAGAGAGAGAGGGGGAAAGAGAGAGAGATAGAGAGAGAGAGAGAGAGAGAGAGAGAGCGACAGTCAGAGAGCCTGAAGAAGGTAGAGGAAGGGAGATAGAGAGAGAGAGAGAGAGAGAGAGAGAGAGAGAGAGAGATGACAATCATATTTTTCATAATTGCTGAAGGTAAGCTCACGTCAACGTGTACCTAAATAATAAGTATGATAAAATAAATTTCATGATATGTATTCGTTTTCCTGTAGCTTTAGGACAGCATTTGAATGAACATGTACAATTTAGAAGTGGAGCAATTATGATTATTTGTTTAAAAAATGATGCTTTGTATCGAAGTCCTCAAATTATGGATTTGATGTTTGATAGAAACTGTATTTTATACCCACTCCATTTCGAAAGTCATCAATATAAGTACAGCTTTCAGCCTCATATGAATTTTGGCTCGAATTTTTTCGAAAGAAAACCAAATCTCAACACCACAACCGTGGTTGATACAGCCTTGCAGTGCCATATAAATCACAATACACTTCATATACTTTCAACACTCCGGGCAAAGATTTTTTGACAGCTGCTCTTGCCAATACGGTTTTAAATGTAACGCAATAAATTCAGAGAATAATACGGTAACATAAAAAAAAGTCAAAAGAAATAGAGCGTGGTCAAATCAGATTGATTTGGAAGCCATGAGGGATACCATCATGTTCATTCATTGTGAACATTGCAACCGTGTTCAAACCTTTTTTTTTCACACTTTGTACCAAACCGTCTCTTCTGCATAATTCATATGTATAATAATGCGTCAGGTAAGTGTGGGTGTATCAGAGTGGGTGTGTGCACGTGTGGAGTATGGTGTGTATGATGTACACATGTGTGTGTGTGTTTGAATGTTTTCTCACGCCTAACTGTAGTTTTAGATGGTTCACACGTACAGTAATGCGTAAGATAATTGTGCGTGTGTACGTGTGCATGGTAGTGTGTGCGTATGTGTGTTTGTGTGTGTAAAGATATGGAGTGCGTGTGCGTGTTCAAGCTTTTACTCAAACTTGCACCAACCATTGCTACTATATTGCAAATGTACAATAATGTCACAGATATCAATTAC